AAGCAGAGGAAGACCTCCACTCCGTTGGAAGGACCAGGTGGAGAAGGACCTGGCTTCACTTGGAATATCTAATTGGCGCCACGTAGCGAAAAGAAGAATCGACTAGCGCGCTGTTGTTAACTCGGCTATAATCGCGTAAGCGGTGTCTACGCCAATCAAGAAGAAGAACACAACCTTCTTAATATTCGCTCTTCTAAAATAGAAATGAAAACTGCGCTGACAAACTGCTGAAGTGACAGCTTATTGCTTACAATATATGGCAAACTAATTAGTATTCCATATATTGTAAGCAATAAGGAATATGGAGCCCCCACAAGCAATAGACGCGCAATACCGTTAGTAAGACATAGATTTTATCCTGTCGAGATGCCTCGTAAAGGCAAAGCTTTTATTTGTGTGGAGTTATGCCTGAATTACATGTGGAGAATTCTGCGTGCAGAAAAAAAGTTTGTACTGATTTGACAGTTCAAATTCTGCTCCTCAAYCTGCACGGCATGTGAAATTTGAATTTCTCTGCGCAGAGGCAGTGCTGACAACATTCAAATAATTAATATTTGAGCAAAGTCCGGCAACATTTTAAATTGCGTTCAGCTGTTCAGTGAAAATAAACAAAAGATATAAAAAATGGAAGAAAAATTGATTGAATTTGTTAGCGAAAACCGGTACCTATATGACAAAAGTTATAGGAATTATAAAAATAGCTACCTGAGGGACGCCAAATTTCAGGAGCTATCGGAGAAATTGCATATTCCAGGTAAATCTTTAATTTTATAAGAGAATTTATATTTATTCATGTTTTGAATGTTTTTAGGTGAGAATCTAAAGGCCCGTTGGCTTACCCTACGAGATAAATTTTACAAAGACTTAAAAAAGAGACCATCAGGAAGCGGCGTGTATTCGCCACACAAAAAGTGGAAGTGGATGGAGAGCCTAAAGTTTTTAAAGGACGTTGAAATGGACAACTTGAAGTAGGTTTTGTATAATCTTGTTTTATTTGTATAATTGTATTATTTATTATGTATGCATTTTCAGCACACAAGGCAATTATGGCACCGTAACGACAGAAGGTGACGACTCCTTCTTCAGCGACTTTGGTGAATCCGCCTGTAGCAGTGTCAATTTAAATACACACAATTCTCAATCAGCGCAGACGCAGACGCCGACACAGACACAGACTGGACGGAAACGTAAAATTGAGGAATTACTTGAAAGATCGAATAGAGACTTTGAAAGAGTGACGTCGTTAGCCGAGGAAATATTGGTCGGTGGCAGGAAGAGATTCGCAATTCAATTATTTTTTTAAAGCCTTGCCAAGCAGGCGGAGGGAGCTAGTTTAAACAATCTGGAAATGTCGGAGTTACAACTCCAATTTCTCAAACATTCCACCAATTTTTTGTGAATCGTAGAAAATAAGTCTTTCATTAACATCTTTTATAATATTTATCATTTTAAATAAAAGCCCATTCATTTCAAATATATAGAAAGTACAAAGTTGAGGAATACAAATCCATTCAGGTTACGTAGAACCGACATATTTATTTTATAATACATTTATTGAATTATTTACTTATTTATTAAAGAAGAGATAATTTTTAAGAAGATCTCGGGTATCAAAAGCACTTCGTCTTGCGTTAGCGCTTGATAATATCGTACTCTGATGTAATGGCGCTACAAATTGTCTCCACTGCCCTTCAATTAGAATGCCACTTTCATTTACGTGGTCAACGAAGTTGTTGGGACAATAGAATTCGGCGTTATGGAACTTTACAAAATTTTGTAAAATTAATGTAGCTCTAACTATGGTATTGGCATTTTCGGGARACATATCCAAAGAATTATTGAGAACTCGCCATCTAACCACTAAAATGCCAAATGTATTTTCAATTGTAACCCGCGCTCTGGATAAACATTTATYGAAGTGGTCTTTGTTTGCTTCCAAACACTTTCCCGGATATGGCCTCATCAAATGTTTTGTCAACGGAAAAGCAGCATCTCCCACATAAGAAAATGGGAATTTTATCGCACTAAGTGAAAAATTTTCTACTTCTGGTAGGTTCATTATTCCGTTTATTATTCTATTTCCAAAACCACTGATTTTTAACACTCCGCCATCACTTTGGCTTCCGTAAGCTTCAATGTCTACTGCGGTGAATGTATATTTGCTCTCACAAACGGCTAACAACACAATACTAAAATATTGCTTATAATTAAAATACAGTGATCCGGATTTTCGCGGACACTTGATTTGGACATGTTTGCCGTCAACAGCTCCTACAACATGAGGCATTCCTGTCTTGATGTAAAATGAATCGGCCATTTCCATCCACTCATGTTCATTTAGTTGCGCTAAGTATATTCCTGAAAGTTCATCCCAAATGGCTGCGGATGTTTCCAATAAAATTTTGCCAATTGTTGATACTCCTACTCGAAAAGCCCAAGCCAACATCTGGCGGCAAACTCCATGGGCCAAATATCTATTGTAAGAGTTGATGAACATATGTATTTATTTATTATAAAATTTACAAACAAAATGTACTTACACTAATGTTATTGCCAGGCGACATTCTGCTGGTATTGGACGACGTATATGAAACTGTTTTGCTATACGCCTTTTATTGATCCACTTGCATCCGAGTAGCCTTTTGGAACTGAGAGGAATCATTGTTTTTTATATAGATGAATAAATTATTCAAAAAACCATGCAGCTCTCTCTCATTTTCCGCATATATAGGAATCGTCCACACCCGTGTTTTTTTTCACTTATCRCGCAGAAGCTTAAAATATTAATTAATTTCTTTTTGGCAACTAGAAGTAAAAGCAATTGTTGCAATCTTTTTTTTCTTTCCACTTCCATTTTAAAATTTTAAAATTTCAATTTCAATTATTTATTACCATCAGCTGATTGTCAAAATTTACTGCACATGTGTTTTGGCTGGAAAAAGTAGTGCAGATCTGCATGCAGAATATCTGCACATGTAATTCCGGCATTAAGGTGAAAAAAATGGTATCGGCTTTAGTATACCATCCCACGATTTCGGGGTCAAAAGTTGTATGGTTGGATAGGGCTGATGTTCCAGATTAAGAAAATTGTTACCGCCGCAAACTTATAGTTTTCGAGATATTTGCATTTAAAGTTGAAAATTTTGCAAATTTTATATAATGCACTTTTTATGTACTTACACTTTATTACATTGTTTCTACATATTTATTTTTCAGTGATTATTTAGTTTTTTGCTTAAAATAAGCATTTTATATTTTACATAAACTTCATTCTATGCACAATAACAAAAGTATTCCTTGTTGACAGATAATAAGTGTTGCAAAAATTACACATTTATCAAACGAAAAAAAAAGAATAAAAAATAGGATTATACCCCAAATATATAAATCATTGGCCCTTTTCTTGATATATCATAATTTTTAGTCGGTCAGGCCGCCAACTCAAAAAGGAGTTTTACTCAAACAAAACTTGACACACAACCGGTGGTGGATCGGCTAGGGTTATTTTTTTGAAGCGCGGCCGAAGGCCGCCAATGCAAAAAGAAGTGGGCGCGAATGGACAAATGTTTACCCTGGTGTTGGATCGGCCAGGGTTTTTTAAGCGTGGTCGAAGGCTGCCAATGCACAAAGGTAATCTAAAAGCTATGTTAAATAGGTTATATCACCCTCTTTAAACTACATTTTCTATGACGGATATTGTTACAACTAAACAAGGTACCGTTCTTTTTGTTGTCCGTTTTGTCATTATCTTCACATTTATCAATTCCGCGTTTCCGCTTTTTAAAATACATTTTCTATAACGGATATTGTTACAACTAAGCAATATATCGTTTCTTTTTTCCCGTTTTGAAATAAGTTTCATATTCATTTCTTTTGAATTCCGCGATTGGATACAGGCTTAAATCCTACTTACAAATTTAAAGTGCATAAAATTTAAAATATATAATAATAAAAAGTTAAGGTGTATTTTAATTACAATATACAATAAATAAAAATTTAAA